CTATAAGATCATGTGGGTGTGCCTATTTCATTCCAAGTAAGACCATAGGGGGTACCCATGGTACGTAGGTGTAAGATCATGTGAGGGTGCCCATGGCATCCTAGAGTAAGACCCTGGAGGGTGTCCAGGGCATCCTTATCTGTTTGTATGTATGTCTTATGTGATTGATATGGATTATATGGTTATGTAGATTATGTGGGGTGTGCTTTGGGAAACTGACTAATCATTAGTTTACAATTTGTTGTTGTTTCAGGTACTTCAGGATCTAAGGGCAAAGGCCTGACATGATGGCCGTCGTGCACCCTCTAGCATTTTGTTTTAGGACACTCTGATTTTATGAATAATGTATCTGATGCTTGGATTTGAAAACAATTGTATTTGGAATTTTATAACTTATGGAAATGGATTTTGTTATTTAAAAATAATTTTTTTTTACTGAGACTTTGGGCTGTTACAACTAAGCCTTGTGCTTATAGTTTCAGTTTATGTTTCAGGTACTTCTAGCTTGAAGGGAAAGGGGTTGGCATGATCGCATCGCATGACACTATGATGCTAGTTTAATCTTTTGCAAGTTGATTGTTAGATTGCATGTTGATATATATATATATATATATATATATATATATATATATATATATATATATATATATATATAATGTTTATGGGTTGATGGTGGAATGAAATTAGAGTTGTGAGACTAGAATACTTGTTGTTGGTGACTAGACAACACCAGAGCTGTTAGTCGACGCTGATGACTAGACGACACCGAAGCAGTTACTTGTCATTGATCAAGTGGATTAGTACTAGAGTCGATAGCCTTTGTTTGTATGTATTGTATGGATGGTGGAATATGTGATATATTGGGAAACTCAATAGCTATTACACTTACGTTGTTAACTTAAATATTTTTCAGGTTGATTGGAAGTGAAAAGGAAGGGTGCGGCATAATTTTTTTTAGAACGACGGGGACTTTATTAAAAAACTAGCAAGAAGCTAGAAAAAAAAACATTACAACAAAAATACAAGCAATAGAAGGATTATGGAGCCAAGAAGACCACCCTATCTTAGCTTTAGTACATCTATTAGAAATAAAAAAAAACACTTTTCAACCACATCATCAAAAATAAAAGATCTCCTAGGCACCACCGTTCCAAAAATAGAATCATTCTGAAACTTCCAAACGCACCATAAAAGTTGTAAATATAACCGCCTGAAAATCCTTTATTCTACCACCTCTCAAACCAGACGACCGAGACCATATAAGAATAGAATCAATCGATAACTGAGAAGGAATCTGAACATCCCATCAAATAGCCACACGTGACCAAATATCCCTCAAATTAATGCACTCAGCAAATAAGTGATCAATAGACTCAACATTCATAGAATAGATAGGGCACATAATCTAATTAAGCATAATTCCACGAAGCGATAACCTTTCTCTAGTTGGAATACTCTGCAACCGCAACCTCCAAATGAAAATATTTACTTTGATAGGCACCTAATTATTCCATGTAGTCTCACAACCACCTGTCCCCAACAAAGCACTATCAATAATAAATCTAGCCGAAAAAACGAAAATGAATAAGAAACATCAATAGACCAACCCAACCGATACGGAAAGGAAGTAAGATGGAAATCACGCAACAACTCAGAAACGTCTTCCCACTGGGTTTGCTTAATACCACCCCTAGGTAATCTTTTGAGAGAATCAACACTCCAACCAACCATTACCCTATCACGAATTAAAACTCTCCGACGAATATCTAGGGCATACATTCTAGGGAAAGACACCGCAAGAGCCTGATCACCTTTCGAAACATCATGCCAAAAAGAAGTGTTACTCCCATCTCCAACTATAATCGGACAAAAAGACCTCAAATCCACCCTCCGATCTCTAAGATGCTTTAGCATCTTAATTATCCCGCTCCAAGGACCTATCTACCCTGTTTTCAACGACAAAGAGTAACAACCCCCATCAGTACCATGTAAAGATTTCACCATCCTGACCTAAATCAAATCTGGGTTATGGAAGAATCTCCACCACCAACGAAAAAGAAGAGCCCGATTGAAAGAAAACAAACTTCCAATTCCAAGATCACCCTCTTTTTTATCAGCCAAAACTCTGTCCCAACGGACCCAATGCATATAAGTATCCTCTAAATTAGCACCCCAAAAAATCTAGAACTAAGGCACTCCAAAGAACTAATAACACTAGACGGAACCATAAAACTGGCCATCAAATAACTCCCCAAACTTCCAAGATCTGACTTAGTCAATGTAAGACGACCACCGATAGAAAGAGTCTTCGCTTTCCACCCAGATAATCTAGAATGGAATTTATCCTGAATAGAAGACCACACAGAAACTCTAGCCATATTTTGACCAACCGGCACCTCTAAATGAACAAAAGGAAGTGAACCTGAAACACAACCCAAAGTAGCAGCAATAGACTCCACTTGAGCTAAAGGAACCCCTACTCCAATCAACTTGCATTTTTGCAAGTTAATTTTTAGACTCGAAGCCACATAGAAACACCTCAACATATGTAAACTAGTTTTGGCATTATCTGGATCCCATGTAGAAAGCAAAATCACATCATCAGCATAAAACAAATGTGAGATATGAATGTCACTTATGGAGATTCTGCGAAAAATATTGGATTGCTGAGCTTTTAACAACGCAACATGAAACCCCTCCATAGCAAGAATTAAAAGAAATGGCGACAATGGATCCCCTTGTCTCAAAACTCTAAAAATTTGAAACTCGTCAGTAGGAGACCCATTCATTAGGACATAATCTCTAGACGTGCTTAAAAGCTCCTTAATCCAACCACACCATATAGAACCGAATCCCATAATACGCATAATTTCCAAAAGATAATCCCAAGGCAAAGAATTATAAGCCTTCTCAAAATCCACTTTAAAAATCATCAATGGATTTTTGAAAGCCTTACTCCAAGCTACCACCTCATTCAATAGAAAAGGACCATCCAAAATTTGTCCACCTTTGACGAAAACAAACTACTCCAAACTAACCACAGAACCAATAACCTCTGCCAACCTATTAGCTAAAAGCTTACGAATAATTCTGTATTGGCAACCAATTAGACTAATAGGTCTAAAATCCCTAATGACCTTTGGGTCCCGTACCTTAGGGATAACTGAGAAAAAAAAGCATTACAACCTTTGGGAATGGAATAATGAGAATGAAAATGTTGCACAAACGCCACCACATCCAAAGAAATAAGATCCCAATAACGCTTAATAAAACCAAAAGAAATACCGTCTGGACCAGGTGACTTATCCGACCCACAATCCCAAATTGCCCTTTAATATGATCATAAGAAAAAGGGGCCTAAAGAAATTGACCCTGTACCTCCGAAAGGGTATGAAAGAGAGCCGGGTCTATGGAATGATGAGTCCTTCTCTACTTAGAGAGCGATTTGTAAACATTATAAAACTCCTTCTTAACCCTCCCTGGTTCATCAATCCAAACTCCATCATCCCCCTCAATACCCCACTGAACTTTTTCCTTTTGAGCTAGGTCGACTCTGACAAGCTGATCTAAATCTATCAACTCCCTCAAAATAGAAACTCGGTGTTCATGAAGATTAGCACTACCATCACCCTCCATAAGAATAACATCTATCGATTCGATCTTCTCTTGTAACAATTTTCTTTTACCATCCATACCAATCCGAATAGAAGAATACCAAACCGTAAGATTAGATTGAAGAACTCGAAGTTTCTTTTTAAAAATAACCCAAGGGTTAAGAAAACCATCACAATCGACAACCGTAGACCACGAATTATGAACCACTTCATCCAAACCTTCATGTTTGAACCAAGAATGAAAGAAACGAAATGGCTTAGGGCCATAATCAACAGAATGTTCCAGCAAAGTAATAGACCGATGATCCGAGATTTTCTTCTCCAAGACCAAACCTGTGAGATGAGGAAAGTACACAAAAAGACCCCCAGAAACCAAAAAACGATCCAACCTACTGAATTTAGCACCACTTATTAATCAAAGTAAACCGAGGTCGCCCCAAAGCAATATCAAATAAATTAGCCTCCTCAAAAAAACTGATTAAAAAACCTAGCAAATGCCAGATTAAACTGAGACCCCAACCTTTCGGATTCATCACGCACTTCGTTAAAGTCACCCATAAAAACATATTCCCCAGAACAAGAACTCATCAATTGAATAAGTTCTTCCCAAAGATGTCTTCTACGTTCAGTCCCTTGCGGAGCATAGATTGAAACAAGCACAATGAACTCCAGAAGAGACCCACACCCCCTCCACTGCTACAAACCAATCAGAAGAAAACACCCTTTTTTTTATTAAATCAATTCTGATCCCAAATGACAAGAATGACCCCCTAAGCTCCACGAGAAGGAGAATATGCATAAGAGAAGGAACTATTACCCCAAAAAGAACATGCCATCAAAAAATCAATAAGCTCTAACTTCGTTTCTTGTATAGCAAGTAAATTTATTTTAAATTTATGAAATAACGATCTCACCCAAACCCGCTTGTCAACAGACCTCACTCCTTGAATATTTAGAGACAAACAATTCATAAAATACTATTTTTTTATTAATTATCCCCTCCCTTTCAACAGCAGATTGAACTTGATCCAAGCAACCATTTATACTAATTCCAATTTGTTGACCTATTTCCATCGTTCTTCTTATCTCCTCCGATGTGGAATTTTCACTATGCTCTTTATTCCCTTTTAATCTATCCGAAAAACCTGGAGGATGTGACAAGGAATCCTCCAATACTTCCACCCCTGACATCCGGACATACCCCCCCCCCCCCCCCCCCCCCCCCCGGGAAAAACTAATAGAACCATTCTATAATACCTTATTCAAAGAAGAAGTTGTAGACTGAAAAACCAAGACCTGCTCCAAAGTATTATGCTACTTAGAAACTGACATCGACAAGTGAGGACGGGAAGATGCTGGTGCGACATCTGATGGGAAGTAATAATGCTAGACAACATCTTTAAGACTGCTTGCATTCTGATTTTTGTGAATAAGCAGGTTAGCAGAGGAACAATCTGGAGAAGGGTCACGAATTTTCTCCACCATCAAAGCTTCTGAAAGAGTATAAAATAAATTTTCTGAAAATTTATTCCCATTTTGCCCCTCCAACTCTACTTTGGAATTCCTTTGATTTTTGCTTTTACCCCAACCTTTAAAACCTGTTGGCATTTTACTCCTTCTCTCCTCTTCTTTCATTCGTTCCATAGTTTCATAAATTCCAAATGGATCCAAAGATTCATCCTTGTCATTTAAAGAAGAATTACCATCTTCTTTTTCAATATTCTCCAAAGAAACCTCCCCATCGGAGTCTTCAACTTCTACCTTAGGAATATTTGTATTAAAAGAAGGTGTCCACCCCGATGCCTCTTTAATTCTAATAGAAAACAGTTTACCATCGACCCTAACATTCACCATATTTGAAATTATATTTTGTGAGTTAGACAAAATACAAACACGATTCTTATACACATCTTCCCCTAAATTATCCTCCATATGAGCAATTGATCCCGTTTTGCCAATATTTTCCTAAAAGACTCTTTACTCCAAGCTCTCAATGGCAGTCCTTCAATGTCTACCCACACTATACGTTCCGATGGAACAAAATTCCAATCCCATTCTCGTTTCTCTGTTAACCAATGATCCATCACATCAGATGACAAAAAGATCTTACATGCAAGCTTGGATTTAATTTCAATTAACACCCATAAACCACCAACATACTTCATATCAAAATCTTCAAAGCCTTCATCTAAACACAGCATACGCAAATTAGGAAGGGTAAGAAAGTCCCCGGCCTTCACCAAACAAGCCCGTTTATATTTGTGCACAACAAAATCTCCAGAAAATAATTCAATGATCTCCTCCTATGCCTTATTGCCATTTGCCAAATTTGTTCCCTTAAGTATGTATGCATATGAATTTACAAAAGAAGAAACTTGAGAGTAATGAGAGGACCTTTTCATAGTTCTCGACTAAAGATTTTTTCCCAATCGATTACTATACTCTTTGTTGAAACGAGGTGAGGACGCGAATAGCTTATAAGTACCAAACCACACTTCACATAAACTTCTAATCATCTGATATGTATTGTGAACATTAGAAAAACGTATAAAGCCAAATCGCTTCCCCATTTTGGACAATTTTTTCAAAATAAATGCATCCACCATATGTCCCAGACGACCACAAATCAACAACTTGTACCGAATCACGAAAATTCATTATAAAGAACGATGAAACCTCTGCATTAAAGAGACTACCGTTTATGTCGAATCTTCCATGATGAACCCTAGAATCCCCCATGCACATTCCTTTGTCTTCCCCATTCCCTACTGCCCATCTCTATTACGTCGATGATATCTACCGGCGTGTGATCCCGCCAGTGGATAACCTGAGAGCACGAACAAGTGATTCCGAAATCGCCGGTGGATAACCTATGTCAACTAATTGAATGGGGTGCAGCGTAATTGTATATAACATCGGTGTCATATTGTTATTTCGACTTTCGTTGGTTTTATAATTTTACTCGGATTTGACTTTATGAATTTTAAACAGATGAATGTTATGATACATTTTCAAGGAATGACTTTTGAATGATTATTAAAATTTTAAATCAAAATATTGGTTGGAATTAGGGATGTTACACTTAGATTATCACGGTTTTCTGTAATGACTTCCAAATGTCAGCTCTAGTGATTCATAGTGTAAAAAAAAAGGCAATGAATGTTTCCTTTAGGAGATGTTAATATGAACAACCATACTTTCCATGTTTACACCCGCTATAGATGATTACCTACTTGAGATACCTTGGGAAGTCATTGTACAAAATTATGATGCTTTGAAGAAGAATAGAAGAAGAAATAAGGGAAAGTTGGTGCATATCTATGTAATGGTTTAATTTAACTTACATGTTCAATTTAATTTAATGGTTTGTCAACTAGAATCGTATGTGGAAATGAAAACAACTTTTTGTCTAAACTGATCGAATGGTTAGAAAAATTATAAACTTACTGAATTAATTGAAAAAAAACATAATGTTAAAATCCAAATTTTATACAAGTTTAGTGCCTTTTATATACAATTACCATTATTTCAATGTCAAGTCATATTTTGCCTAGCTATGGTATTTCAAAGTAAAATTCAAACATCACATAAAACTAAAAGTTAATTATGTTCATTCCATAAAGATGAAATCAGTTTGAACATTCAAACTTTTGCCTAAAAACAAGATTAGTGGTCAAAATACAATCGGGAATTTGACTAAAACGACCATACAAATGTAAATTATACCATATAGGTCAAACAGCATTTACGATTTCAATAAACAAATAACAAACAAATACATATATATTTTTGGTGTGTGGATTTTATTGTTTTGAAATCCATACTGTTCTTGCTCGGACTATTTCAACGTTGTCATCTTGCATTCTTACCAAATGTGTGCACTCCAAATTTGGTGTTGAAGTTGTACCACGTGCATTAGGAGTTGGACCACATGCATTCAGAGTTGTACTTATGGGGATTTTTTTGTCTTGTTTTAGGAGCCTTGTTTTCATGCTTGTTAAAGAATCCAACATATCGGATTGACGACATTCCCTTCTGTATTCCAATGTTATGCTTCCCATGTAGTACTCCTCTAGTACTTTAATTGGTACACTCTGCATATCCACTTGTACATGAGAATAAGAGAGAGAGAGAGAGAGAGAGAGAGAGAGAGAGAGAGAGAGAGAGAGAGAGAGAAAGAGAGAGAGAGAAAGAGAGAGAGAGAGATAGAGAGAGAGAGACCTCCAAAATCCAACCAATATACTTCACATTATTTACATGTTGATTAGCATCCATGTCACTCCAACTTGGCTGGACAAAAATAAGCCAATATACGTGTGAGGTCTGTACATATATGTTTAATGTTTTAACAAGGAAAGTTTATTCTTAATCATATTGTCAATTTAAAAAAAAAATTATATATTAGGTTATTTTTGTTAGCTTAAACGTTTTTTTATTTCTTAAAAAGCTGCTATATTTTACTGTTTTCATTATAATTTTTTTAAATTATACTTTAATTAGATCTAAATTGAAGAAATAATAAAATATATAGGTTTTTCTAGAAAAATATGTTATATGTTTTACCAAGGAAGGTTTATTCTTTATTATATTGTTAATTATATATATATATATATATATATATATATATATATATATATATATATATATATATATATATATATATATATATATATATATATATATAGGTGGTATGATTCGTATAACTGAATGAAATTATGAATTAATGGACTATAAAAAATTATAAAATAAAATATTTTATTTTACGATGATGTTCGAATTTTGATGACTTGAAATAATTGAATAAGTCTTTCAATTATTTTTTCTATTATATATAAATAGAAAATTAAGTAAAACTAAATTGAAAAATGTAGAAAAATATTTATTTTTATTTTTATTTTTAAAAATTAAATAAAGTTATAACAAACTGCATATAAACATATTTATTTCATTTAAAATATATATTATAAATGTATTTACAAAATAACAAAAATACCATGAAAATTTGGATTTATATTATAATTAAAAAATATCTGACTTATTTTTGTTAGATAAAAATAGTAATAACTAAAATAAATTTTTTTATTTAAATCTTAATATTATTAAAGATTATATACATAAAAATAATTTGTAATTTTAAAATAACTTTCCGTTCTCTAATGAATAACATGCCAACAAAATAAAAAATCAGTATTAAAAGTATTTACATATACAACAAACAATAATGATTTCTTATTATAACTTCATATTTATTTGTGAAACCCATGTATTACATGTATTAATTTATATATATATATATATATATATATATATATATATATATATATATATATATATATATATATATATATATATATATATATAAAGCTCAGAGTATGTAAGACCTTTGAATTTATAAGAAAATAAGAAAAATAATGAATTATTATAATAGAAATGATTTTTATCTTTTAAATTTAAATAAATATTTTAAATAAATAAAAGAAATTAATAAGATTTAATTTATAGAATTTTGAAATTAAAAGCTAAGCTCAATAATGAAATTAGTATCCATTTATCATTATATTTATTACAATTATTATATTAAAATATTATGTGAAATTTAATAAATTAGAAATACTTATAAAATGGCATGTGGAAAAAAAATTCAAAATAACAACAAAATGATATTTGACAAATTGAATGAGAGTGAGAAATAACGAAAAAAAAACTTTCATTTAGTAGAGAGGATTACAGATTAAAATCTTAAAAAACTTTGCAAAAGCTTCTTTGATCCCACTTCTTATTAACTAGACAATTATCTTTCGATTTTATTATCAAATTTAATTATTTCATTTATTTACACACATAATTTCGATTTTATTATCAAATTTAATTACTTCATTTATTTACATACATAATTTGTTATCATATAGATATATTGATACAAATTAGAAATAATTAACTTGTGTTAAATAAGTTATGATTTAATAAAAATGAGGAAAAATGACTCAAGACAATAAAATGTGAACAACAAACTATTGATATTGTTCATATTTAGTAGTATCTTTTTTTGTGTGTATCATAGACCATCAAACTTGTTGAAATTGTTCACATTTTATTCTTGTAATCGGCTATTACTGGTTAGAAGGGTAAAACATGAACAATTTCAATAAATTAGATATTATGATGCATGAAAAAAAAGAGTACATGCGAACATAATAAAAAAAAAATTTAGAATCAATATTTGTTTGAAAACATGAATTCTTTTTTTTCCGTTCAAATATTTCAAAAGTAACACCATCACACCATCCATAGTGCATCGTCTAAGCCAGTTGCACCATAATAATAAAAAAAATTGACATTTTTTCTAATGTGCATATATGAAAATTCAAATATTCACAAATATGCATATACACACAATGAACATTTATAGTTTTTCATCGTTTTTTGACCTATGACTGGCTTAGACGTTTTTGTTAAGTTATTTTTGGACAAATCAATGTTTATATATACGCTTGAAATGTTTAATTTTATTATTCATATTTAACCGTGAACCAAACAAAATAACTTGAAAACCGATTTATCCAAACCTTATTTGGTTAAGTTTCGGCTAATATTTTAAAAGCAAAAAAAAAAAAGATTAAACCGAATTGAAAAAGTAAATAACCGGTTAAAACGGAGAATAAAATGCTACATACGTTGATAACCTAGTCTAATAGTAAAAAAATGACCCCTACCCTATAGTAGCTTGTTACACTCTTTTGTTTATTTGCATATGATAAAGTAAAGGAGAACGAGAATTCAAAAAGTATGCGTTCTTTTAATTTTTACGTGTTAGACAAACGGTTTAGTGCTAAACTATTGTAAGGAGTCAAACT